CCGTAAGGCAAATATCGTCATACTAAAGCGCTGTGTCAGTTGGCTGTTCCTGGAGTCATTGTCATCGTTTTCTATTCTAACTAAAGAGCTTGTGGATACTTAAGCAAAACAAGACCGTGCGCAGGTTGTAACGACACAATTCACAAGGCGTTCTCAACTAAGCCCACTCGAGTGTATTTCTACGCTTACTCCAAGCGCATACAATTTAATTAATTTGTATGCGGAAATTAAAACTTTATGCGTTACGAGGCGATTTCGCTTTCTTTGGACTTTTAGCCGTTGGTCCCGTGACTGTCTGACGTTAGCGTCAGGCTGAAACCCAATGATCGTTGACATTTTTCTACGCGCAATGCATTCTGCATAGGAAAACGTGATATTCTCACTCTTTCTAACAAATTGAAACGCTGAGTAACTGATTGCCGACCAGTCTAGAAACTGGCTGTCGTTTGTGAAAGTGCGGCGCGTTGCTTTGAAGTTCGTGATGTTACCTGAAGTTAGTTTTCAGTGTTATCAAGTTGCCTGTGCCTCACGGGCATATTTTACGGGCCCCTAATTCAAATAAATGATCCATTGCCTAGACGGGTCCTTATCGCTGCCCTTCAATAATTTCTCAGACCAGTGATTGAGTGAATTAATGTTCACAGTGAATTTTCATAAGTCATTTTAACGCAAAGCAGTGAACACTTTTCATATACAGTCTGCTTATGAAGCTTTCTGAAACAGCCACCTGATAAATATGCATGTCTAAAACGTAAATGTAGAAAAGCTTAGTAATGAACAGAAAACAGGAATGTATGACGCACATTTACTACGGAAGAATGAACACAAAATCATCTACCTCCATTTGCACGTATTGCGACGAGCACTGATTGCTCCTACTTGTTGACCACATAATAGATAATCGACAGCACAATAGAGCATGCGTATTCAATATTTAATGGTGCAGATATCCTTTAGTCCACCGCAGCTGATACAAGTTTAGGCATATTCAAGCGTGAACTTTCAGTAATGAGCTATATCACGTGTACGCATTTGAAGTTAAGGTAGCATATTTATCACGTGTTTCTAAGTGACTTCTCTACGATATTTTGTTTCAACACCGAAAATTATCGCATCGGTTTCAAACGTCGGGTGAAAAAGGTTGAATGTTAAAATGACTAGCCGAAGTGGAGATGGTGGGTGGACTTTGCAGTTTTAAGGAAGTACCTAATTTCTTTACGCGAAAGTAACTTGTCTGAAACGGGCGACGAAAGCTAGCTGCCAAACTTTTGATGAATTGTGGTTACCAGACCTTTTACTTTCTCTATTGTTCAACTTCATTTTCCAATGGTAAATAAACTGAAATTGTCAATCCATGTCCGTCAGTCTTCATTAAGCAAAGTCATCGCGTGCCGCGAATTGCGGTGCATCGTTTTCGCAAGCAAGCCCGATGTTTCAGCGTTATTGGCAAGCGGCCTTCAGTCGTATTAACATTTGCCTTTCGACGTAATTCTGGCGTGAAATGTGGTTGCATTGTTATTGTGCATCCTGTTGACTGAAGAAGTCGTTAAACGCCTACTTACTGAGGCACTTTAAAAAGATCATTAAATTTTTATCGTTACATACACTCTTACGTCAGCAAAATTTCGAAGAGTCTCGAGATGAAAGCGTGATTTTTTTCTAGCCTCTAACGGTCGCTTTCAGCTGTGGTGAGAAAGTAAAAGTAACCTGCTGCCTGTTGTTCTCTTTTGAATTGGCAGCCATAGCTGACAGCTGCTTATCGCTTGTAAATTATGAAGAATTTGATTTATCCAATTGAATGTATCTGTGACTACATAATTGAATAATATGAGTGTTTACGTTCAGGGGCGACAACTGAGTAACCGCTAATGAACCAAGGTTATCATACGGTTGCCAAACCAAGTAAACGCGGTCACGGGTTCAACACTTAAAACTTCGCAAAGTTCTGTCGCTTGTTATAAGCAGAAAGTTAGCTTAGCTATCGTAGTTTCCGTTCTTAAGGAACGCGGCGTTGAGAAACGCATCCGCTCTCCATTTCTAAACTTACGCGTCTAACTAATGACGGCGTAGACCAAAGCAGCCATTGCACTGTTAATAAATTTTCCATCTCAATGGGCACGTATTTTCTGTTACTTAATGATAAAAACTAAAGAAACTCATTGAGGAAACAATTAATAACGAAAATTACTCCTCTCTGAGCCGTGTTGCCTGTTACTTGTCGTAGGAATCGGCTTTCCAGCTGCTGAATCTATCCTCATCAGCTACTTCTCTGGTAATTTATTATTAATATTTCGTGTAAATTGAACTTCTCTTCACAGAAAGGTTCCTATTTTTCTCAACTTCCAGAGCAGCGGCAGTTGGTTTACACCTTTTATTAATATTTCGGCTGAAAGGCCGTTCTGCTGCGTGCAAGGTATTAATCGCCAGCAGCGTTTTGCATGAACCGTTTCAAGCGTTGCTTTGCAACATGTGTTTTGCTTTTCCGTCCGCATAATGATACTGGTTAATCGGTAGCTTTCCCACCATGATTGCTGGCATTGCCTTTTGTGCGTGCCTTTGAATTGCCGTTAAAAAACCAGGTCGGTTAATGTAATGTTCTAGTTTTTCCGCGTGTTATCAATCGGTTGTCGTTGCCAGAGATTATTTCCTGGAAACCACTTGCTCAGCTATTATGTGGTGTCAGGACTTGCTCAATCTGTCCTGGTTATGTCTACGGTGACGTAGAAGCGCAAAGAATGGCTGGCAACATTGCCAACGTTCATATCATTTCAGTAGACTGGACTTAGGAATGCAGCTCTCGTTTAAACTAGCAGAGAGAGAGATCGTGAGGATACATTTCAGAAAATTGCCCAAACCTTAAAAAGTAGAAACCGTCGTTTAAAACAGTGTGCATAATGCAGCTTCACAAATTTTTGGCTATGTAGGTAGCGAGTTGACGGCACAAAGAAACGGCGGGGGTTTAGTTAGCGTACGATTGACTCTGTTGTGTTAGCACAAAGGATAATTCGCATGAACTGCATTTTTAACCATATTCGTGATAGAACTGTTAATGCCAAGTATTTCCTATCAGCCCTTTGCGACAAGACTTCTCTGCTACGGTTTGTCCAAATTGATAGCTATCGTTCAGGGTAACCCTTTCTTGGTGTTGCAGTTTCCAGCAATCATAGGCCAAAGACGGAAGCTCGCTTATCCGTACCTATGAAGGTCAACGGGAGACCGCCTGCTAGCTGTAACATATTGTGTCGAATTTCTGCTCACTTATACAAAATATCCACTGAAGAATCGCATAAAGTAAAAATGTATTTGCGTATTATCGTCCTTCAGTAGTAATTAGGAATTCCCGTTTGCATCGATCTGCTGTTTCAACTGTCAAGTCAGCTATGTTAACATTATCCGCAGAGTCGTGCATGATCGAAGCAAGTGAATTGAGCCTAATTTGTTTTTCATTTCAATTTGATATCCTTCTTCGATGAGGACGTGCTTGATAACCTTCCAAATTAGCACTTACAAGCTTCTGCGCTTATTGCACAACTCATCCATTCTCTGGTTTTACCGGAAGGGATTAAGGGACGTCAGAATTTATAACCCAATGGTTTTCTTTTGATTTCTGAGCCAGTACGGTGTTGGAACATTGTTCCCTCAGAGCAATCAATTTGCATAGTTTGTTTGATGTTAATGGCGGTGTAATTGAATTCATTGAAATATCCAACAGTAAACACTTAGAGGAGCTGCAACCATTCGAATGCCTAGACCCAATTAGTAATTCCAATTTTTAGAAAATCCCTGCAACACGACTGTCGCGACTGACTGAGGCGTTAGCTAACTACGATCCCGTGCTTAACGAATATTTTTTCGACCGGCATCCAGCCGTGTTTGCTCAAATCCTAAACTACTATCGTACTGGTAAATTGCACTATCCAACCGACGTCTGTGGGCCTCTATTCGAAGAAGAGCTCGAGTTCTGGGGTCTAGACGCCAACCAGGTGGAGCCCTGCTGTTGGATGACCTATACGCAGCATCGAGATACTCAGGAGACGCTAGCCGTTCTTGAACGGCTGGACGTAGATAGCGATATGCACGATGAGGAAGCAGTTGCTAAGCGTTTCGGATGGGAAGATGACTACATCTCAGGTAATCTATCCTGGTGGCAGAGGCTCAAGCCTAAAGTATGGGCTTTATTCGACGAACCCTATTCTTCCACTTCAGCCAAGGTGAGAGAAAGTGCAGTGGAATTCTATATGTGACTGATTACCATTTAGGTGATTGCCGTTACGTCTGTGTTCACTATATGCGTGTCGATTCTTTCTTTCTGCCTAAAAACTCATCCGGACTTTCGAATACCAGTGCTAGAAAGTTATGTGTACAACAGTAGCAATGGGCTTATCAGGTTTTCTACGTCGAAAGGTATGGTCTTCGACAAGGAACGTACGCAGCCGCATAGCGCTTTCTTTGTCGTCGAAGCCATCTGCAATACTTGGTTCACTTTGGAAATTCTAATTCGTTTCGTCTTCTGTCCGTCCAAGGTGCTATTTTTCAAGTCGCCCATAAATGTAATTGATCTCGTGGTAAGTCAGTACTCCTCAATTATGCATTGTCCAATGTATCGAGTGTGGTTTCTTCCTTCAGGCAACAATGAGCTTCTTCATGGACTTCTTGTTGAAAGAAGTGGCTATGTCCACCAACAAAGATATGGTAGAATTTTTCAGCATCATTCGCATAATGCGGCTGTTCAAACTCACCCAGCACAGCAGCGGTCTCAAAATTTTAGTTCACACATTCCGCGCCAGTGCAAAAGAGCTCAGCTTGCTAGTCTTTTTCCTGGTACTTGGTATTGTCGTATTTGCGGCCTTAATCTACTACGCAGAGAGGATCGAGCCTAATCCGGAAAACGATTTCATTAGTATACCACTTGGATTGTGGTGGGCAATAGTAACAATGACCACTGTGGGGTAGGAAAATCTTTTCTCGTTGCAACCCTTTCTGCAACTAATGATCGTTTTACAGCTACGGTGATATGACACCTAAGACCTATTTGGGCATGATCGTGGGCAGTCTTTGTGCCCTCACTGGTGTGCTGACCATTGCACTACCGGTGCCTGTTATAGTCAGCAACTTCGCCATGTTTTACTCACACACGCAAGCCCGAGCTAAGCTACCGAAGAAGCGCCGGCGCGTATTACCGCTTGAGCAAGCTCGCATGCAAACCCGGAGAAAAGCCATTGGCGATGGAACTGGACTATTATACGGTCGTGTTCCGGGTGGGCAGCGCGAATCAAAAGGTATCCTATCGTTGAAAGGCCAATTGGAACAGTGTATTCTTGCAGGCGGCTTGGACGAAGCGGAGCCTATATTGTCGTCTCCGCGTCGTGATCGCCACTCACAGCGGGTAATCGCAAACGCCAAAAGCACCTTGTATGCCTTCAATTCTGTTTCTGAAGCTAAGCCGACCCAGGGTGCGTGAAGAACAAAGGCAATTTCACAAAATCTCCATTTGTTTGCAGTGAAACTGGTATCTGGGCGTCACAAGGTGCTGCTCACAGCAGCCGCTAGCTCATCGCTTGGCGGAGAGCAGTTGCAGATGAAAGAACTGGGTCCGTAGCTCTCTGAGTACGTTCTCATTCAAATGTTCCTTCCTGTTGGTGATGCTAGCAAATCATGCGGAATAAAAGTGATACTTCAGACTGTTGGCTGAAGAAAGCATTGCATATTGTATTCTTGGAACGACACAGATTCACTTCGGGAAACCGTAAGAGGACTAATGAAAACATTGAATCCTTGCTATTATTCAAACTTTATGCATTAGTTGCCACGCAGTGGCACCTTACATTCGAGACCAAATCTTCCCATGCAGCATTTCCATCCTGCCGCGCAGTCGCTGTCTTGAAAGCAGAAGTCGATTCGCGATCCGAAGGACGCTGGTTGAACCTCTGGGCAAAGTCCAGGCGTCAAAAAATCTGTGCAGATTGAAAGCGCATGCTAAGCAGCTCCTCGTCAATCTTGAAAACTTACTGATATTGTTGTTCGGGCTTGGTGAACCACTTGGTTCAGTGCACCTGGCACCCCACGGAGTGATGCAGCACTTTTGGTTCAGCACACAATTCCAGTCAGAGTAGCACCTGTCCGACCATTTCCCTTGTATTCTTGGGCCGGCAGGGGACGGACAGAAGCCTGCCTTGGGAAGTGGTTGAAGTTCTGAACGACTTGAATTTGCGGAGAAAAATATGAATACGCAAACTTACCGCTTTGCACAGCTCTCACGCATCCACGTCCGTAAACAGTGTTACAGCATTTGTAACCTTCTATACATTGGAAATCGATAAGGCAGCGGCGAGAAGGTCCAGGAATGGTCCATTCAGGCGGGCATTCGCCAGGATGATCCCAGAATGATGCTACAGTGCATGACTGCGGTTAGCTTTCGGGAGACAACTTCATTTACGATTAAGTTAGGAAATAACATTATTCGAGTTTCTGTTGCAAACGATTCAAGGTCAACTCTCTTGTAAGAGATGAGATAATGAGGTTTCATTGCGGTTTTAAATGGCTTCATTAGCTTTCCTGTTCAATGAGTCTGTAATCATGAAAACAAAACTCTGCTAACCGGTGCATGGTTGAGCAGTTTACCACAAAGACAATGACTGTTCCGCTGAAGACATAACTAGTCTATTGCTAGGAAACTTCCAGGTATCTCTCTCGCAAATTTAGTTTTTTGCAAATAAACCACAGCCTTCCAGTTCTTGCAGTTCTGTTTTCCTGACCGCAGTCTCACTGAACGGCACCTAGGGGTAATCAAACCCCTAAATAAAACAATGAAATTATAGTAGTGTAGCTGCTTCTGTGGTGGTTAGGAAAAGCAGCTGAATCGCTGTAAGGGCAAGACAAGGCTGTGGTGCTAATGCGAGTGCAGCACGTTATTGCTTAACGATAGCGAATAGTTGGGACAAAGGAGCGCCAGTGACAGGTTTTGCCATTCAGCAACCTCACAAACCCATTATTGGTTTGTGAGAAACAGGTTCTTCATGTTTTTAGCCCAGTTTTTGTTACGCAACGGTGATACTTGGAAGTCGGCCAAGAGTAACTATGTTTGTCCAATAACATATTCTTGTTTCCTCTCTCTTATCAGGATCAGTTAATAGAAACTTTACTCTTTTGTTTCCGTTTTTATCCTAACGGAATCCGTAGTACAGATAATGCAACAACTTACTGAATCCAATTGAAGACACAATTAAATTGTCTACCGCAGTTTGGTCTGTTACTCCATTTTCTTCAATGACATTTACTACCACAACTTCCCCATCGATGGGTGCTATGTCATCGATGGTTGATCCGGTCTCTTCTAATAACCCATTCTCAATTATGACGTCATCATTAGGGAGCACTATAACATTGTTATCCTTGCCGCTCCCCCTTGGTGTATCTCTGGATTGGCGCCTTTTCTCTTCGCTGACCACTACGATTCCAGCATCCACTTCTCCGTTGCCTTCTACCACGACGGCTATTGGTTCCTCAATCACGGGGGCAACTTCTTCTTCTATTACTGCAACCACAACTGGTAGTACTGGATGAAGGCATCTTGTCCCATATTTCATGACACAGCATTTGAATATGCCTGGGCAGTTGTCATCGGTTGCGCAAGCGTCAAACCACGCTCCAGGTATTCTGGGACCCTCAGGCTGAGGGCAGGTACCAATCTTCACTATCGGACCAAAAGCTAAATGCCAAATTCTTGGCCAAACCCAGATTAGCGCCACTAGTTACTTACGATTGTGGATTGCAGCAGTGCATTCTTGACCTACAGATGTATAGCAGCATTTTTCGTTGCCCGGGCAGTCATTGTCTGAAACGCAGCTACGCACGAAATTTGTCACAGGAGGTTGCAAATATGGGCAAAGTCCAATGTTCCTGCCAAAAGCTGAAAAGTAAAGAATGTAGAATGTGAGTTCGTAGGCTTTACCGAAACGTCTTGCTACTTCTTGAAAACAACATCTCGCAACTGCATTGTATGTTAGAAAGGGAATGAAAGAAGTGACTCAACGGTTCAGTCTTCTATTTGGAGAAACTCTTAAAGTCACTTTCATGGACGCATTTTGTTCTCCTTAACGTGTGCCACTTGAGTAAGCACGACATACCGTCTTGTTCAGATTAAAGTAACGGAAAATAGAAAACGACTAGCAGCCACTTTCTGCATGAGTTGTTCTTACCATTCAGGAACACTGTGGCAGTTATAGACACCAGCAGATTAATACTCTTTGGCATAGTCAACTATTGCGCAGCGTCATTCTGCTATAAATTTGTTGAACAATGAGTTTATAACGCTTTCATGGTTCATGCGGCCCTGTTTTGTGGGGGCATCCGCGTTTTCCACTACGTCAATCAAGCAGACCAGGTTGACGCATGCTTCCTGTACGTTTGCATCAATTTTGGCGAACAGTCTCCTCTTGTTACAGCAAAGCATGGTTCTTCTTTTAAGCGGGTGCCATCAGTCGAGGCAATCTAACTCGCTGGGTCTATAACCGGCACTTTACTGAGTGGAAAAATTAGTCACGCTAAAAGCGACAAATGCAGATTAAAGAATATCAGAAAGAACATTTCATTATTATTATTTCGCACAGAAATAATCGTTTTTGATAAGGACAAAAATATACACGGAACTTCCGGTATCAAAACACGTCCCATCTTCAGCGTGGTAATTGAGGAAGTAGTATTCAGTAGACAAGTCAGCTATATAAGGGTGTATTTAAAGTAGGTAGTTGTGAGTTTTAAGAAGTAGTCAGTGGGGTGATCGTGTTTTAACCACTGATTCTGTACCAGTAGAAACTGAAGTTAAAATGGAAATGAAATGAAAGGTGATGAAATTATATCTTTTCTAAATTTCTTCTTCCTATCACGTTTTTCTCCATTATTTTATTCTTTCTTGATTTTTAAGTTTTTGCCTTCGTTTTCGTGCGCCCATTTTTTGTATAACAGGAAATAAGTCTGGCTTCAAGCCAGTTTACTGCAGAGGTCTCCTTCTTACTCCGTTTCAGCCGAAGACACCTGCACGCTCTCAGCCGATGGAGTCTCCACGACGTCCACTTCAATGCAAGAGGCCATGCCCTTGACCCGCTTTATCTACAGGACTTCCTGCCGAGTGCTGCCAGCAGCCAGCAGGCGCAGATAAAGTCGCTGTAAAAATGGCGACTGAGCAAGAGAAGGGATTCGGGGAAAAGATGATGCACGCATTCCCCACTGTTACGGCATGTCTTGTAAGACCCGCGCGTCGTGTGAGCTTTTTTCACGCAGGCGTATAAAGAAAGGAGGCGCTTTACATCAAAAGCAACTCCACCATCAATCACGACAATGGGGGTGCGCTAATTAAAAATTTCCAATGCCGCGTCTTACTGAGCTAATCACACCCATTGTTTTGATGAGCCCATTTAAACTCTTTACTGAATCCTTTCCCCTAACATCTCTGACGACGGAAAAAGCGCAGTTGCGAGACAAACGACTACATTGTTCTGTATTTTCTTTGACAATTTGCTCATCCATCTACTGGTGGGGCATTTTAGAGTTTAATTACAGGCTTACACAAAGCGGGACAAAGCTGTGACTGACGATCAATATGAGAGTACCCAATCCCGTTAAAAGACATTCGATGTTCAGAAATGTCTTGTATGATTTGATGAATAAATGTACAGACTTTACCGTCGTGGGTAGCATGCTTTTTAGAGACGTACAAACGCTGTCCGGGAGCTACCGTCTGTCTCCCCACTTCCACGTGAACAGACTGTAACATGGGGTGTGCTTAAGTTTCCTAAAATGGTATTATTTTATTTTCGCTTTTTACTTTCGCGGATTATTAATTTACGTTCTTACCTTTTAACAGTTATTTTCTTCTTTAAACTTTTCAACTCAGAAAAGCCCACCCAAGTCGTAGTCAGTTCCCATAGCACTGCAGAGACAGGTGCGGCAGCCGGCTGACATCTTTAAGTCTGCCGAAAAACGCTATCCCCAACAGAAAAATCCGTGCATTTATTCATAACAAATATGCGTGCACCGTTACTAAGCCTACATGTACAAATATGTCTTGTACAATACAACATAATTGCCTATTTGTACCACTGAGCGAGCTCAGTT